GACACTAGTTTGTTTGAAACATAGCTGAGCATTTTTCCGTTCAATAGTTAGGAACTAAATTTGTAAATTTTGTTCGAGTAGTTCAAAATAAAACCTGTTAAACTTTGTCAGTATTCAGTGAAGCTGGAAAAGGGCGACTACACGCTCCGTCTGAACGTACGGCACGACAACAAATCTCTCCTGGAGAAGCTGCAGGAGCTGCCGGTCATCATCCAGCAGCGCCTGTCGTCGCCCATCACCGTGGACATCTACGCCAGCCACCCGTTGGTAAGAAGCGCGGCGGCTACGAGAGGCTGAGGCTTCGCGGTCTCGGGGTCCCGTGGTCCATGTGGTCGAAGTCCGTATTGTGCGCAGGCGCTGACGGGCGGCAAGAAGTTCGGATCCGCGGCGCTGCCCAGCGGGAGTCTGCTGCCCGTCTACTTCGCGGCGGTGCCGGCCGACAAGTGAGGCTCTTTCTTTCCTGGGAGGCATCCACTTTTTGCTTACGGCATCGTTCGCCCGGCACAAAGCTTGCCAGTACATTCGTCTTCCTGGCTGATGAGAGCCAGGACGTACCCTCTTGTTCGATTTTCACGTACACATTTATAGGAAATTAAGCTCTGTGGGGAAGAGTACGTCCAGGGAAGTACTGCCACGTTACCTATTTCTGCCGTCAAGCAGTAATGGGAGCATTTCTGCGTTCTGGTTTTAAAGGGTAAGGATGCTGATGAAATTCCAGGCACATGGGTCTTGTCAACTTATGTCTCAGGGTGACGGGCGCAGCGGGAGTGCCCCTCAGATATTTGCGATTTGAAGCTCTGAGTGGCACTGCAATACTTACTGGTAAGACGTGTCGCTTTCCAGCAGGCGCACGACTTCCCGTCACTTAGCATCATAAAAAAAAACACAAAACATACTTCGACGACTGCTACAGGCAGAATACTGATTATCCAAGACGTTTCCAACCATATATTTCAGCTTTGTAACTGCGCTTACTAGGGCTGCATTTTTTGGCGTATTTACTCTTTGACATAAATTATAATACCCTAATTTACAATTATAAAAATATTAAAAATATTTTTGCAATTTACGTGCCTATTATACAATTGACCGGATATTTTACAAATCCATTCAGCTAAAGGGACAGGATTGACCTCTGAAATTCAAACTGGCATTTTCCCTAACACCATTACAAATAATTTTCATCATAGCTCAATTATACATTCCACCGAAAGACACGAATCTTCTCTTTGGAAAGAGTTTAGGCTGTAGCCAACAACCTTGGTCTAGTAGGGGCTGACCAGTCTTCTTCGACATTCAGGTTTCATTACAACTTTATCTACCATTGAACTTTAATTGAGAAGCAACATTTCTCCCACTGGGCTAGAACTGCTCTGCAAATAACAGATTCCACTACGGGATTGCAAATTTTCAGAGTGGGCCGAACCCTCACCGTAGGCCAAGCGTTGACGGGCACGGTGACGTTCGCGAAGGACGAGTTCGGCCGTAAAGTGGACACGTACCCTCTATATTACTACGTTTGCGAGCCCCCGAAGAGGCCGTCCACCAACAAGGACAAGGAGAAGACCAAGCCGCACGAGGATTACCTGGAGGCTGTCAAGGAGTTCACCACTAGCTGGTTGGGGAAGTTGGGTGAGATCGCGACGTCCATTTAAGTTTCACACGCCATAAAAGCAACAAAAACAAGTTTCCTAGGCAAAGGAAAGAGCAACGCGTGGCTTTGTATTTCGTCACTATCCGTCCCCGGTAGAGAGAGTGAATGAGAGCACTGAAGCGACGTGTCCCGTGTCCTCAGAGGGCGACAAGCTGGAGCAGGTGTACGAGGAGCTGCTGGAGAAGTTCCCCGGCTACCTGGGCGCGCACGTGGCCTACCTCAACGCGATGGACTCCCCCAGCGACCCCAAGAAGTATGACATCTTTTTGTTGTTATCATATCACCCCACCATTCCTTTCATACATTCCCAATACCTCGGCCTTTGCGGCATAGCACTATTCACTATTATATTCTTTGGAACCTTTGTCTAGTGCATGACTGTCAAGCAAATGTATAGTGTGTCATCTATTTCTTGAGCATGCGCTGGCGAGCTGAGCATGACGCGTAGCAGTTCAACATGCGAAGCTACATACGAAGCAAAGGGAAATATCTTATTTCGAAACTTGATGCGCATAGTTTTGAAATAGGTTTAATATGCTAAATGTAAATTTTGATTGTTATAGACAAGAAAGTGCTCATAATCAAAAAGCGATCAGTAGCTCTATGATGTCGGCGTCCGGCGAAACCCTCCCCGTAAAACGCCCTGCGAGCAGGCAAAAACCTTGCAACGTCAATTTACCTTTTCCAATTTCCTTTCCCGTAACCGAGCACCGTTAGAAAGTCTGCCGCATTCAGAGGGAATGGGTGCTTGAGAATGTTGACGATCATTAATATTGATACGCATGCTCTGGTGACTCTTAACAGCCTGCGTATCGATGTTAAATTTAATGGTAGTCATCTTGTTTATAAAAAAAGCTCCACGGACCCGCTTTATGCTGATGACTTATTAATAAATTGATACTTTGGAGACTAAAGGTCGCAAATGCTAATTTTTATCAGAAATTAAATATTGATATTGGAATATTTTATTTATATTTGAATGAATATTGAATGTACTCTACTACTGGTTTGTTATTATATTACTTATACAAAGACTGAACTAACACAAAAAAATTCCTTCTATCTGACTGGATTGGAACCAGTGTCTGTGGCCTCAACGTGGCTACTGCTTTGTCAACTGAGCTGCCGATCATTGTTGTATCGATATTGGGTTAAATATCCATTTCTTTTGATTGGTTAACTCAAAGTGTTGTTAATTGCCAAAATTATAAAAAAAATGGATCTAAATGTTTATAAAGTTACGTTTTTTACGTCTTGTAGAGTTTGTAGTTTTCTTCTCCAAAGTGTCAAATGGCTTGACCTTAGCTTGTTTTTTTTTACTTATGTCTGTTTTCTTAACATCTTCATTTCAACATTTATTTGTCTGTTAAATACCACATTGAAGCTTTGAAAGTAAACTAGCTATTAGAAAGTTTGTCAGTAAATAATGTTATATTGTGTAGTTTTTATTTTAGTCTGTTAAATAGTTATAGAATAGGTGGAAATAATTAGATCCAACAATAAAGGGTATATTATTATATATGTAACAATTGAATGTTGCGTCATCACCGTTACTGCGTGTATTATAATTGTAACGATAGTAATTGTGGAGGTAGTGGAGTGTAAATAAGGCTATCAGGGCAATAGCATAGCAACACACTAAATTTTTGTGAACAATATTACTTTAAATGGCACTAAAGTACTAAATTATTTTATATTTGTATGCTATTTTCATGTATACAAATATTTCTGTTACTTACTGTTATGGGCAGGCGTGTCGCTTAACGGCGCACGACCTGTTCGTCCTGTCACTTGGTGTCATAAAAGAAATAGTCTATACAAACGCTATGCATTATTTTTTATAAATTACGTACACCTATTATTCGGAGAAGAAAGGGAGTAAAAGTGAATTGTTATAAATGGATTGCTCTGTATTCTTAAAGTGTTTTATTCGCCATAAAAACATTCATGTAAATTTTAGTTTGCTTTCATGATCTTTTTCTCTCGAAGTAATTGTAGGGTAAAAAAAGAATTGGAGAATAATCCATCTGGGGCCTAACGTATATTAAATTGACTTACGGTTTCGCCAGGCTGCCTCACGCCACAGAAGAGCCCGATGTGACGATCGCGTGGTGCGAACAGCTTATCGGCATTGCTGACAAGGTAAATTCCAAAGACACTATTAAACTGCTAGGGGAAGTTATTAGAACTGCAGGACAGGGGTTAATGAAATAAAAAGAAATAATAAAAACAGATAAATTTATTTTAAAGGTGAAGAAAACATTTTTAATGCAGTTTAATACATGAGAGTAATTAGAAATATATGAAAATAAGTAATATAATTTAAATTAAGTAAAATCTGAAACTACAAAGACATCGTTTTCGTAGCCATGGTTAAACGACAAAGGGTTACCTATAATTAGTCCGAAGTGATATTTTTCCAGAAATAATTTTCATAACCTCGGAAGTCATTTTGAGAGCAAAATGTTTTTTCTTTTAAATCTAACTTAACGTAACCTAACTGAACCTAATTGTCTCTTTGTGATAAACACTCAACATATCCCGAAAGAACAACGGTTTTGTTATATTTCGGTTTTCGGTGTAATGAAAATTCGAACATACGTTATTTCGGAAAAATAAAATTTGAGTTTGTGTTAGGTTATCACTCTCACGTATTGAATTGTAACGTTTTCCTCATCTTTTTTCAATAATTATTATGTATTTATTAATTTGTTTATTTTTATTATTTCTTTATTTTGTTGCGCTCAGCCGGTTCACACTTAAACAACGTCGAACTCGAGCCGTCCTCGCGTCGCCGGATCTGCCGGAGGTTTAAGTGGGTTTCGATTGCAGGTGATCAAGAGCATCGACCAGGAGAAGCTGCTGGCGTACCTGGGCATGAAGAACGACACCCGCAGCGACGCCGGCAAGATCAAGCAGTGAGTGCGGGCGGGGCGGGGCGGGGCCCCCCTTAGGCACGTCTGACCCCCGAACCCCCGCAGGGAGCACGAGCGGTTGCGCGGCTGGCTGCTGGAGGCGCTGAGCCGCCGCGGCAGCTGCCTGAGCCGCCTGCAGCGCCTGGCGCCCGCCAAGGAGCGCGCCGACGCGCTGCGGGCCAACCTCGACGACCTGCTCAAGTTCTGCGACCTCGGCGACGCCAAGGTACCGCCGGCCGACCGAGGCCGTGGAGTCCAAATAGTTTAGTTCCGAGCGAACGCGGTAATGTGGTGCTCAAAGTACACAACGCTCGGTCTCGTAAGTACGCAGCGGGCGCTCAATCAGTCAATTACGCTACAAAATTTAATTTACAATATTTTAAGGTATTCTAATCGTAATGATTTAAATCAATTCGAAAATGAGAATTTCATCTAAACTGCAAAAACAATTATCTAGTACTTTATAAATATAATTTTTAAACTCTCTTTGAGGCACTTGTTTAACATAGTCGAGCACTAAATTAAACAATTTCACGGACACCTTATAGTAAAACTACATGTAGTTTTACTAAAAGTACCAGCCAAGCGATTTGAAAACCTGGGTAAGTATGAGTACAGGTTTGTTCGAACATAGTTAGATTCCTCTTGACAAACATACACACCTCGAGGATGTACATGGAGGATAGAGTGACTAACCTAACCTGAATCTAAAATGATAAAGTAGAAGTCCAATCATCTTTATTTCATACGTAAGCAAATTACACTTGAAACCGTCATATTGATTAAACTCTGCTGCTCATTCGTAAGGCAGACTTCCTTAAGAAGAATGACCAAGAAATTCTAGGGGCTGCACGTTGTAAATATACATTTGAATACATTTATTATTTACAATATTTGTTTCCAACATCTTAGAGCGAGAATACCTGCAATATAATAATTATAAATAAAATAGTGATAAATAATATATCCAACGTCCTCACAAATACCATTCAGCTCCACCAACAATCATATCAATTCACCGCTAGAGTTACACTGTTTATTGCTGTACACCTGTGTTTCAGCAAATAATCGTGTTATAGATTACGAATTTGTATGAAATTCCCCCATTGCGAACGCTTTCGTCACCGCGACCAATACTTTTTCCAATATAAAAAGAACCAAGAAGTTAGCTGTATTCCAAAATTGACCCTTAATGTTATATGCCCATAGGCGATCCACTACGGTGTATGGCACTACTTCACCTTCAAGCAGTGGGGAAAAGCCATCAAACTGCTCCAAAAACTCCAAGAAGACCGTCCATCCAAAGATGTCGAGGAACGCCTCATCGAAGCCTACAGACAACTCGGCTGGGACTACTTTGCCAACTTTGTACAGGGTCAGGTGCCCATCAAATATCCTTCCATTTATAGGCCTTTCTGAAAGTATCCCAAACAAACCATAGACCTAACCTCGTGTACAAAGGCCGAATTAAACCGATTTCTAGCGAGTCAGTAGCTTGATAATACAATTCTAGTCTCGTTTCATATAGGCATGACTTGGAAGATCATTAACATTGAAGTTCGGTTACTGAAACAGGTCTCACGGCTCGTACTATATATTCTGCGCAGTAAAATAAACGATTTGAGATGTAACCTTGTGTACAAAGACTTTGATCTCGTAATGATCTTTGTACTAATTACTTATTTTTATTTATGTGTTTATTTATTCAATATCATTGTTTAAATGTAAGCTTTGAGACCTTTTCCCATGGCAATGAAACTAAATGCCTGGTTCATATTTGCATAATTTTAGCCTGTCACGTTTGATGCGAAGTAATACGCAATCACGTGCTACGCATGCATGTGTTACGCTACCACATGCTATGCAACCACATTCTACGCAATCACGTGTTACGTAACCACATGCAACGCAATCACGTGATACGCAAACTCCTGACACACATCTGTGACATGCTACGGAGTTACGACGCACACCAATATTATAAGAACGTAGACCTGTTACTAGTCATTGAAACACAGCAATCATGTTTAAACCGAGTCAGACAAATCCTATTGGATGCAAATCGAAATAAAATGGAACTTATGTCTATGTTTTTTCAAATTATCGATCGAAATCGGTTTCAGAGCTACGCTCATTAACTAAAACGGAGAACAGGTAATCGGCCAATAGAATTTTGTTATTTTCACGTGTTGTTCTAACGTGTCTGTCTTCTCCGCTCTTTAGTCGAGAATAGGGCTAATGGGGTTAGGGTGCAAAAATGCCATGAAATCATGAAAGTATCTATGCCTATTCTTTTCATTCTTAAAGAAAGGTATGAATTAAACGTTTTTCATGAGATGTTAGGCCCACACATCGCCGCGCAACGGTACAGCGGCACAAGGTGGGATGGGCCTTATAGTCGAATTGTGTTATACTTATAGAATGATTGTTGACTTGGAAATGCTTATATTAAGGCATATTATATACGTACATATTGTTTGTCTTACATTGGGGTACTATAATACATTATGTTTAACTATCTGACGGTCTTGACACAGGCGTGTCAAGTGTTAGTAGGCACTAAGGAGGTATATAAATGTTTGGCTTTCATGGTCTTTCTGTTTCGTAACCTACCTAATTTTTAAGTAAAGTCAGTTGTTATAATAATATAAATCCTTCGCTATGGAGGTATTGTCTTGTTATGTAAAAAGTCAACAATAATTTTATGAGAAAAATATATATATGTTTATGTAACTTAATTGATATACGTTTTGAATTCCGACTCCAACAGAAAGAAAACCTGTTTTGATTTGTCAGATTTTTTATTTTATTTGTAATTTGCTAGGATTAACGAATGAGAAATCCGAATTTTCGTTTATCCCGTCACGCGTCCTAGAAACAAACGGTGTCCTAAATGATAAAAACTTAATTTCTTTTTTCATATTTAAACTTTTCAAAATGGTTTATGAAATCACAGCTGCGTGAAGTCACAGTGTGTCACTAAAGATGTGTGACGAGGCAATCTGTAGTTTGCGTGGCTTTTTAGTGTGCCGATTTAAGATTCGATGTGAGTACTATTTCTCTGACCATTCAGGACTCTGACCGTTCAGGACTCTGACCGTTCAGGACTCTGACCTTTCAGTTCTGTGAAGAGCCGATCTAATTTACCACTTAATTGAGTTACATAAAATATAATTACAACGTAAGTCATGTCCAACGGATTAATAAAACTAGCAATAAATAAATTCATAGAAGTACATAATTATTGTAATTATATGTAAACGCACAGAGTTTTTTACAATTAATTCATATTTATACAAAGTATTAAACTGTAAATGCAACAGTCAATATTAATAAATCTTTCCATATTTATTTGACTGGTGCTCCAAGTGTTCTAGTCTCGTATTTGTCGGGGAGCAAATGACGTGACAAGCGGCATCGTAACGATACAACTAAAATTACGCTAAAAGTTTGTGTGCGTCAGAATGGCTGGCTGCCTGTGGCGTCTGGTACTGAGTGTATATTCAAGATAGCTAGCTACCTATTTGCTAGTATTTGCTATCTTTCTTAAATAATTTGAGAAAACAACTGACCAGCCTGCATTCTGATGTCAGCTTGGCTGGTGACTACTTTGTTCAGCATGAAGTTTGGTTAAAAAATATAACAGATTTAAAATTTTATGAAGAAGTGCTTATTAAAATTATAAAAGCAACCGTTTTTAGTACTATCAGATATAAAGCTAGTACTTTAATTCGTGAAACTAGCAAATAGATATCAATTATTGGTAATAGAATACTTCTGCAAAATCTGCGCCCTTCATGCTGAGCAAAGTGGCAACCAGCCATCCTGGTATCAGAATTACTGATCTACTATTTTTCAATTTTCCCAGAATGGATCCCAGGTAGCCATTATTTAGAAAAGGTTGCTACCTTTTCTAAATAATGGCAAATAAGTAGCAATTATGGAATTTACACTCAGTACCAGACGCCGCAGACCAACCAGCCATTCTGACGGACACTTGTTGTTGAGGCAATTGTTTCGCTTATGCCGTGTACGCCGGGAATTGTGCCCTGGCAGATACGACGCTATAATTATTAAAGTTGATACGTAATCATGTTCTACGACTTTTAGAAATGCATAAAAAACTCGTAATGTCCATTGTTCGCACTAGTCTCCTGTAGAAAAAGGACCGGCGGCCCAATGAATTATGGTGTAGTCTACAATTCATTGGGCCGGAGCCACGTCCAGGATTTACACATTTCTAAAAGTTGTAGAACAAAAAAAAAAATAGCTTCTATTGGTGTCATCTGTGACTCCCAATTTGTAGCCACAAGATTTTGGCATTACGTATTTTGAGAGTGAAAGGCGTCAAAATGCAGTCCTGCTAATGTCACTGAATCGACACCGTTACGTAGCTGCAATGGTAAAAATATATGATTATCTTCCTTATTTTTTTACGATTATATTTAATTTATTAGTATCATTTGTTTACCATGTAAGATATTGAATTAAATGACAGGGTGCTCCTATAATTTGTGTGCTCAATTTATTTAGCAGCTGAGAAAGCATACTTCTTTTCAAATTTTCAGAGAGAAATCTTAAAAGGCTAACCGTTGATTGTTCCCTGTCGCCATGCTATGAAATTTTAAAGAACTGCGTCTTAACGTCTCCAGTTTAGGGTCGACTTTAACTTGTATCGACTTGAATGACCACGGCGGTGTCCGTAACGTTTTAATTAGCTCTCAACATTTCGTATTTCTTACTTAGCCACAATCACATCTAGTGGTAAGCGACGATCTGACCGACTACGGTACGCGTTTGTTTAAAGATGCCTATTCACTCTAACCTTAACGGGAAATAAATGCCGGAAGTGTATTGCATTCCTTTACCGTACATATTGAATTGACGGTAATGTTAAAGACATAAGAATGGAGTGTTCCAGACTTTCTAGTCGACTGAAGGAGGAACGGTGTGTTTGGAACTAAATTAAAATGTTTCTGCGCAAACTCTCTGAAATGTATCTGATATAAATAATTGTAGTTGTCTTTGGGACACGGCAACGCTTCTTCAATTGTGTTTTCTCTAGCTACTATTATTTACTAAAAATATTTTTCGTCACTTGCAAAATATATGCGTAATGTACATTATGCGTGTAATGCAAAATATTGGTAAGAAAGTATTTTATGTATTTTTAATTTAACGAAAAAGTTATTTTAATAATTTTTTTAATATAAAATTGTAAATGGTAAAAGAATAAGGTAATGTGGGCTCGTTGACATGCCGAATGGAGAGCACATTCTTCGTTAAATCATGCTTGTCACATTGCGTATTTGTTGATTCTTTGTGGTACAATGCCACACATGTCCAACAAATTTGATTACAAGTTAGAAAACAATGTAGCTGCCAAATCGGTGATCGGTGCTGATTATTCCACTACAAGGTGCATTTTGCACTTTGTTTTTACACAATACTGCTCTCCAATTAGTGGTGTCAACTATTGCTCTCATTGAATCATGACCTCACTAGACTAAAAGTTCGATAATATCTAAAGAACTGGTAATATTTTAAGAAATTATAATAGTGTTATTGATTAAAATGTAAGAAATAATGTAACAATAATGAAATTCATACCTGCGAGTTTACGAAGAATAAGAATTTTTCGAAGAAGAAGCAGCTAACATCATGGCATTCAAAAGACATTTCTTTATTAGTTCTGTATTATTGTATATAATGTTTCGCGCCATGATTCCTTAGGCTCGATTCGTGCGAGCACCCACATGACTTTGTTCCTTTCTATCCCAATTGCCTCCACATCGTAAATTTCCCATTTCTTGTTTTCTTAAACTCGTAAAAGTCAGCTATGACTTCCTTGTGCCGACGACGATAGGGTATGTTTTATTCGGCAATTGTTGTATATTATATTAAATTGAATTCTTAAGATGCGTCATAATTCTTGTGTTTTTCTTTTTCAAAAAAAACGACACTTATTATATCCGCTCTTATGCTCGCTTTTATATTTTTTTGTATTTACAAGATCTGTGATTCGATTGTTTCCCTCTCTTTCGTGCAATATAATGTAAGATTGAGAGGGAAATATATTTAACGCTATTGTGTTGCTAGCCGATTCAATGGCATCAAAATGAGAAAAGAGCGGTGTAACTGAAATTAATTGTATTATTTGATAAGGATTACAAATTGTTACACTGCCCAAAATGCATCTTTATTTTTAATTAAGTCCACACTGCCTCAAAATGCATTTTTCTTTCTATTAATATACGCGAGGCCGTTAAATTGTGACGCCGATTAGAGATGAAATAATTATTACTATGCTTCGTGAGTATGATAGGCAATGTTTTTTAATGAATTGTTGATAAGCGTGGAGAAATAAAATATTACTTGACGATATTTCTTGTTTTTTTTTCATTTCGTTAGACGACTTTATTAAGGCGTGCCTTATTCCAGGTTCACTGTAATCGAGTCTTTAAGTTATGATTTATATAGTTTTCCATTTTTGCGAAAAGGTAGATTTAATTGGTTTGCTATTTTATGGATTACTAACTCTTGATTGCTAATCGCTATATAGACAGCGTAGCCCGGTACTTACTACCTACTAGTACACCAGATGTCGCGACGAGTACCAAAAAGTAGCTATTTTTGTAACTAATTTGTTTTACATTGACAAGTTGCAATTTGACAACGCTAGTCTAATTTCTAGTAATAACAAACAAATCAACTAGATGGCGCTTATTGCACAAGTAAATATGGAGGATTAGCTCCATCTACCCGTATTAGGAAGCGTTAGTTTATAAATTAGTCAATGCCGTCTGTTGACACGCATATTTGTCAAAGTTCTGATAATAATTTCAGCATATTCACGGCCATTTACATAATAATTTAAAATACTTCCAGGCCATTGATCAGCGCCATCTAGATATATAAGACGAAACTTTGACCTTTTTCAGAGTTACGATGTAGCATGGAGGTTAGCACTCCTCTTGAGTTATTGGTCCGTGGCCATTACTTCCATCATCTAAGGTGGCTATTGGACATATTCAATTGACAAGTCTACGCTGGAATTTGCTTTTTTCCGGCAGCGCTATTATTCAAAGTCGGAAACGATTATATAATTATACTCTGAAAAAGGCGTGATGGCGCAAAATTCTGACAGTAGTTCCTCTTTTACTTAAAATTATGATGACACTTGAGTAAGGCACGTTGTACATTTTTATAGTGAGCGGTGATAGCCCAGTGGGAGAACGGTTGAGAAGTGGACGGCTCGAAACCCCTGTGGTGGCGTGGAGTAGCATTACCACTCGCTAATGGTAAAGAAAATCGTAACGAAATGCATGTCTACAAGTCGAAGAAGCAGTTTTTTATAGCTCGGGAGCTACGTCCTCCTCTCCCCTTTAGATATCTGTGTCGCAGCCAGAACGTGGTGACGCACTTCCGCTGGCTCAACGACGGTGCGCCGGCACGAGATCCATGGCTGCTCCAGCCTTCACGCCACTTCTCGTACGCCAATGGCCATGGGCCACCTAGTCGTCAAGTCTGCAGACCAGCGAACAGTCAGCTGATTTGATTGCTCACGAAAAATTTTGCTACTTGCTGCTTTTGAAGTGATAGGTTGCCCAGAAATGTTTTTTTACAGTGTTTTTCAACGGAGGTAAATATCAAGAAGAGAAACAGGGAGTATTAGGTGCATCGGCTGACTAAACAATCGTCAAACGTGCGCGTGTGGAAGAGCGTTAGTTATACTGATTAGTCGTCTCGTAGTTCGCCGACAGAGTAGTTTGAAGGCAATCGAGTAGACTCTCCGGGTAGAGTCTCCAAGGGCTCTAAAAGTAACATAATGATTATAGAATTTAAATATCCTACAATATGTTCTGTGTTAAATAGTTGAGTAATTAAATAATCATATTTTAGTTGTATTATTATTTACAAGTAGAGGTTAGGTATCTATACGGAGTAAGTACTGTACGTCGTAGTACGTTCGTCGTAAATTTAATTAATGTGATAAGTAGAATTGCGGTGGAAGTTTCAGAAGAAACAACTCGTGGCCTCCAGCAAAGTTTATGATACCCACGAAGTTAAAACAAGTGAAAACAACAACTACTATAATTATGTACTTCGAAAACCGAGTTAGTATTAATTTAGCATTTAAATAATTACAACAAAGTGTCAAGTCTGGCTCTGGTTGGTAAGAATTTGTAACACAAGGGACGGGAAAATTGAAAATATCTGGATTGCGTCGAGATTGTTCCAATTAATTGATTCCGGGGTCAGGTTGTGAGTAAAGTTAATGACGCGAAAATTACAGAGTCCCTGAAATGCGAAGGCCACGCTGTATGCGGTATGTTTCGACTAGGATTGAATCGAGGGTGACTTGTAACTGGGTGACATTTTGCCAGAAGTTGGAAGGGATTTAATGACAATGAATGTAATGTGCCATTGTCTTTTAATATTGCTACATTTTCCGGGTAAATTCATTTGTAAATGTTCACATTAGTTTAGCATTGTCGTTATGAATTGGTTTGTTTACGGCGTCAGATTACAAAAGTAATGG